CTGGCCTGAATGCCCTCCTGAAATACAGGTTCTGGGAGGACCCATAGGGTGGGAGGGTACTTCCAGTGTATGAATTCCAGGGCTGGAAGGAGGCTTCAGGAAGAAGAGTGATGGCATGGTAGAGGAAGTCTGGATTGCAGTCTGCAATGAGGAATGAGACATGGCTAGCCTAGGCACATTAATAAATGCCTGGTGATTGACTGGTTGATTGGTTGATAGGCATGGATGGATGCTCATAGCAGTTGACCCTGGGCCATCAAGAGGTTAAATTATTTTCAGTCTGCCCTATTGACAGAGGAAGTCTTCAATACCATCCACAAAGGTGGACGATTTGGTGCTTCAGAGGATGTGGAGAGAGGGGAGAGAAACAATCTTCAGTTATCAAAGAAAACTAATCTCCCAGAGTGTTCTGGATAGTTGAAATTTCCTGAAAATTTCAATCAGGTAAAAGTAAAGCTTGCTAGCAAATACAGCTATTCCCAACATGGAATGGGCTGCTTGGGGAAGTAGTAAAATCCATATTGGAGGTTTTCAAGCCAAGATTGGATGACTACTTTTGGGGGGTGATGCAGAGTGGGGTTCTTGTTCAATTCTGGGTTAGACTAGAAGGCTTATGAATTCCCTTCTGACTCAGATTCTGCAGTCTTATTGCCTTTAAAGATTATCTTTCCAATTCCATTCTACAGTGGAAGAAACAGGCCCAAAGTTGGAAGAAGCAATACCAGAGCTGAGTTTCCAACCCAGATTTCTTGATTCCAGTGCACTCGTTTCTAGTGATCTTTCCCGCACATCATCTTGCTCTTCCCTGGGTTAAGTTGCATGGGCCAGACAGTGAGTCTTTGCTTTTAGAACAGTCCATTCTTTGCTGCTTTCTAGGCTCTGTGCCTGCCAAAGACCTTCTGAAGCTTGACTTAAGTAGGACAAATTCTTCTGACATACCTTCCTTTTCCCCTCCCATTTTCCCTCCTTTACATTACAGAAGGATCATTTCATGATGTCGCAGCAGAAAGAGTTCAAATCCTGGGTCCATAAGACAATTACTACCTAGCCACCTTGGACAGGTCACTCAATCTTTTTGGGTCTCTGTCTTATTCGACTTAGATGACCTCTAAAGATTCTGGATCTGATCCTCTAAACAAATATTGTTTGTAAGCTTTGTAAGCCTTCCCCAGAAGACAAGTAATATGTCTTATTATCTCTATACTCCCTCTTCCCCCTCCATCATGCCAAGATCATAGCCATCTTGCTCATAGTAGAGGCTAGACAAACACTCATCTCTGGTATGAATGAACAAGTAAAGTAGCTTTACTTCGGCCAGTCAGGCTCAAGCTCCTGGACATTTGACTTGGGGAGGGGGTTTTCAATGGCTTAGTCTGATATGTCACCACTTGATTGTGAGGCAGTGGATAGTTCCAGGAAAAAGAAGAAACAAAATATCTTGCCCTCCAAAATCTTATGATCTTGGAAGTCTGATGAACAAGAAATTTCACTGGAGATCGGGGTTCTGGCTCCAGCTCTCCCACTAAACTTTCTGTGTGACCCCTGAGCTTCAGGTTGCCTCCTCTTAAATGAGGTGGGGATTATATTAAACCAGGGGTTCTTAACCCTTTTGTGTCATGGACCCCTTTCTCAGTCTGGGGAAGCCTATAGCCCCCCCAAAAAAATGCTTCTTTTTTTAAATAATCGAAGGAATAGTCAAATTTCAGTTGGATGTTAATGAAAATAAAGATATAATTTGTCCCCCATCTTAGTTCATGGACTCCCAGAAATCTAACTTAGACACCATTTCAAGAACATTTGGGTTAAATGATCTCTTAAGTCCCGTTCAGCTATAACATTCTAGAAGTGAAGATGAAGAGTTGCCAAACAGCCCCAGCTGCTGGGACACCTTAGCAGCTGACCACAACATAAAGTTAGTAAATAAGTAACTCCAAGTTGTCACCAATCACAACTTCTGTTTGGACCCTTCACCTTTTTCCCTATATTCATTTTCCTCCTAGTCCTTTCCATGCACTACAAAACATTTCTTCTTCTTTCTTCTTTATTAGAGGGGATTGAGGACAGAGAAGGGGTAACTGGTGGGCCCCTCTCCCCCTCCCAATTAAATAAAGCCTGTATGAACAGAGCTAATATTAGTTTCCTGATTTATAAAAGCCAAATGGATTAATGGATCAGCTCATTCATTGCCTGGGGGAACAAAAAGAAAATCTTCAATACCTCTGTGCACATTGAGAACAGGAACAATGAGGGTCTTTAGAAAGCAGAAACCTAATTTGGGGGAATCAATTACTCTCTCGGTCTCTGCGTCTCTGCCTCTACGTCTCTGGCTTCTCAAGCTCGCCTCCCTCTGCTTCTAGCTCTCTCTCTCTCTCTGGCTTTGGTTCTGGCCGTTTTAAAGGAGATTTTTCTGGGAGCTAAAATTTAGAAAAGCCCTTCAGCTTATTCTAGCTCGTCCATGTCCCACAGACTTCAAGGCAGTGTTTGTGTATGGTGCTGATAAGGATTAGGGGGAGGTGTAGGAACCCTTAGATTTGTTTTTTTTGGGGGGTGACGGATGCGTTGTTAGTGGAAATATGGACTATTTATTATGTCATGAGGAGTAGAGGGGAGAAAGGGAGAAAGATCAGTTTTGTCTGATCAGTACATTGAAAGCAAGAAGCCTGTGTGTATTTGGGGGTATGGGGTAAGGGTGGCGATGGGTGGCAAGGCTAAACTAGTTGGAGAGGCTAACGGGAAGGGTTCTCGCACATTCTGAGCCCAACCCAGTGAAGAGAAGCCCCAAAGACGAGGTGGCGCTGTCCCCCACAACTCGGGAGGTCTCTAAAGTCTGTCTGTCTGGAAAGGCCCGGCTCCCTCCTTGCCCTATCTAATGAATTGTTCCAAGTAGTTCTCCTCCCCCCCCCACTCCCCTGGGCGCTTCCCCGCAACTGCTGGGCGCTGCCCTGTGCTCTGGGCGGCCACTGGGATAAGGGGAGAAGGGGGGTGGTACCGGGAGAGTGGCAGTGGCTTGTTTCCTCAGAAGCACGTGTGTGTGTCAGGCGCTCCTCTCCTCCCCGCCGGCGCAGGCTGTTCTGCGCGCACGAACACACACACACACACACAACACACACACACACACACACACACACACACAATCACCCTCTCTCTCTCTCTCTCTCTCTCACACACACACACACACACACACACACACACTCGCACACTCTGGCTCCGCTTTTGTGTTTTGCCAGAATTAATGAGAAAAGTTCCCTTGCCCTAGGGGTAATTAGTGTCCTTGGAGTTAAATAAGCTAATACTTAGGCACCTCTGGCACAGGCAATTATGTTTGTGTATTGAATAATTGATTCAAAGGGGGGGGAAGGGCCGCTAATCAGATCTGAGCATAATGAATTGATTTAATTAACAGGGGAATCTGAGGGTCCCTGGGAAATGCGGGCGTTTATTCAGCAGCTGGAGAGGGCAGAAGCACATAAATTGCGAGCGGGCGGCGGCGGCGGCTCCGGCTCGGTCTCTGGCTCCGGCTCCCCCTCGCTCGCTCGCGGTCCTTGTCTGTAGCCTCGCCCGCCTGCCGGCCGCCGAGCAACAGCTCCTGCAGCCGGAGCGAGCCAGGCTCCAGGCTCCAGGCTCCAGGCTCCAGGCTCCAGGCTCCAGGCTCTGAGCTCTGGGCTCTGGGCTCTGGGCTCTAGGCTCTGGGCTCTAGGCTCCGGCCAGGCTCGCGCTCCCTTCCGTTCCCTGCCCGGTTCCCAGGTTCCCCGGCTCCCCAGCTCCCCGACTCCCAGGCTCCCCGGCTCCCAGGAGCACGGCCCGCCCCGCGCTCTCGCCAGGCTGCCCTTTCACAAATTCATTATTAATCTCCCCCTACGCCCGCCTCCCTCTGAACAGCAGGGGCCCGGACAGGGGAGCCGGAGCCGGAGCCGGAGACGGAGTCCGAGCCGGAGCCAGAGCCCGAGCCGAGGCAGGGACAAGGATCCAGATTGCGAGAAGCAGCGCCGGCCGGGTCCAGCCCGGGCCGGGCAGAGGGCGCGCTCGGATAGCGCCGGCCCAGGGCCGGCGGCCGCCGTCTCCCCAGCCCCGTGCCCCAGTCCCCGTCTCCTCTGGGGCGACCGGGAAGCGGCGGTGTCTTGCCCACGCTCCCCCGGGTGGACGGCGGCAGCTGCCGAGGGTGGAGGAAGAGCCGCGGCAGCAGCAGCAGCGGCGCGGGCGCAGAGCCCCGGCAGCCAGGACAATGGTGCTGGATAAGGAGGACGGTAGGTGCCCCAGCTCGGCGGCCCGGTCCGTGCGCCCTGGGCCTGGGAGGAGGAGGGGGCCCGGGGCCCGGAGAGGGGAAGGGGGGCAGGTTGAGCGCGCCATCTTCCAACTCCGTGCCCTGCAGCCCCGGGAGGTAGAAAGTGGATTTGTTGAGGCTTCAATAGGACCGGGATGGGGGGCGGGGAAGGGGGGGCGCAGTACGCATGAACGCCGGGGCCGGCCGCCCGGACCGCGCTTAACCATGGATCCGCCGCTGTGGAAAGGCCAGACTTTTTGAAGCTAGGACCGCCCCCCCCCGCCCCCCTCCCAGTGTCCTGGGGCTTGAGGAGGGGGAGGGGAGGTGTGGTGTGCGGCGGGGCGGGACACGCTGGCTTCTCCCCTGGGATCCCGCCCCCGACCGCTTTGCCCAAACTGACAAAGGGCAGGGGGTGAAGGGGGGAGGAGATTTACTTTTTAAAGGTGGGGGGAGGCCAGAGTTGACCCCAACACCCCTGTTCCTGATTCGAGGACTCCTGATCTAGAGATCCCTTTTGAGGAAGCCGGTGGGGGAGGGGAGGGTCAGAGCAGTGATTCAGGGCAGACTAGGACCTGTCACCAGAATCTGTCCGGGAGAGAGCCCTGTGGCCGTCCCTTAAAGAGACCTATCCTACTGCTAAGGGAGTTATAGGGCTGGGGGAAAGACTCTTTTTTCCCACTTCTCCCTCTGCCCTCCCAGCCCTCCCCCGCCCCTTCCAGGAGGCGGCGTGACTGCTCACCAACAGCTTAGGCAGTGCCAGGCAGCTCCTCTCTCGTGTCTCCCTCACTCTCCGCCTCTCCACACCCCTTCCCCAAATACAGGGCCTTCAAGTGACCTTCCCACGGCAGGTAGGCAGGACCCTTCCTAGAAAAGGGGCGCAACGCTCCAGGTAAGAGCCTCTAAAAGGCCCTTTGGGCATCGAGGTCCTCTTTAAGAGACAGGATGAGAGGAAGCCCGGAGAAGAGGGAGGGAGAAGTCCTCAGACTCGATTCTTCTCTCTGACCCATAGTGTGCAGCTTCTCTCTTCCTCATCTTCCGGCCCATTAAACTGCCTTTGTTTTCCCAGACTTCCCTGGAGCTCTTAACAAGGGTGGATACTCTTCCCTCTTCTATCCTACAGATGCCTCCTCTCCCAGAATAAGTAGAGTCTAGGGCCCAGGGATCGATACTAGGCACTCCAGCTTTTGGTGGTGAACTTCAGAAGAAAAGTACCCAAATTTCTACTTACCCCTCCCCAGCTGGGCCAAGCTTTCTATTATCCTGGGACTGCTAATCTCATAGAAGGGTGCATGGCAATGCTACATGGGCCAAGAATTAGGTGGAAGTGGGGAGGTCACTGGGCCAGGAAACAGAAGGGAGCAATTTTGCCCTTTTCTCTCCTCTCCAACCCTGGGGAATCCTAGAGCATCCTGAGTGGCATCCCTCACTGATACCTTTTGGTGGCCAGAGCAATAAAATGGTCGAGGGGGAGGGGAGATGGGGAATATTCATGACTGCTCAGAAATTGGGGAAGTAGATAGTTGAGTTGGAAGACAGTCACTTGAATCTCACAGTTATAACTACTGCTACTTGCCAGGAAGGATTGCAAAGCTTTGTGCCTTTAGAACTTTGCTCCCTGGCTATAGGGGGCATAGAACCCCTTCCATGGGCTATGAACAGGAAGAGGTGCTGTCTTTCTTACTTCTGATCAGTAGCGACACAGGCAGGCACAGTTAAGTGGTACAAAAATTAAGGACTGTTAAATTCTACGTTACTATTCAGGTCTGCTGACCTGTGGCTGCAAGACTAGGTGACAATCAACAATGGGAGGGGAATAGGCAGATAGCAAAAGGAGGGCTGCTTATTGGTTCTCTCAGTATTGCAAGATGCAGTCATTAAACACCAGGCCTCACAACTGGTGTGATGGAAAGAAGGCTGGTTACACACACACACACACACACACACACACACACACACACACACATACTTATCCTAGTAGTCTTCCTCAGCCTCCAGAAACAGAAGTCACCTGAGTACCTAATTGCTTGAAAGGAAGAGGAGCCATGGGTGGTTCCCTTGGTAGTTCCTTAGGGCCATGTTCCCCTTTGCTCTTGGGAGAAACTGGGGCAGACCATGAATCAGACTTTTTTTTTAAGCCTTGTCTTCTTGTTCTAGTCTCTTTTCCACACAGGGCTGAGAAAACCTGAGAACATTCAGTATGTGCTTTGATTTTGAGCTAGTTTTAAAAATCCCAACCTATTTAATTTTCCCAAAACTGAAGGAAAACTGAGTTTGTAGCATGAGAATTTCTTAGTTTTTGTGCCTATGTGGCAAAATGCTACTCTCTGTGTATGTCTGTGTGTGTGTGTGTGTGTGTGTGTGTGCAGACACAGCACCCAAGTGTTTGCCTCATTCCAGGGGGAGATAGCTGGAGCCCTCACTCAGTGACTATGCTGGTCCATAGTGGGATATGAGGTTTGAGAAAAGGCATTCTCCAGACCTGTGGGAGACCTCAGGCTCTGGGTGCTCCCTGTGGAACTCTTAGCCTCACTGGACATGAACTCCTAGAGTTACTTAGGCTAGGTCCAATGCTCCCAGACTTGGGAGTGGGGTATAAGGCCCATGTGGGGGTGTTGGCCTCAGGCCATATTAATTTCCATGACAACATTTGGTGCCAGATCATAGGATCCTAAAGGTAGAACAGGAACAGACATTCAAAGAAACTGAGGCCCAGAGAAAAGTAACTTGCCCAAGGTCACTAGGCAGCAAGACTTTCAGCCTAAGTTGTCTCATTGTATTTCCTATGTCCTTTCCACTGTACCATACTGCCTCTTTGTTCCTGAGTCATAAAATCCTGACATCTGAGGTACTATACTTCAGCCTCTTGCCTTAGTACAGAAATCTCTTACAGCATCTGACAGGTGTTCATTGAGCCCATGCTTGAATACATCCATGGGCAGGGAGCTTACCACCTCACAAAGCATCCCACCGCAACCTCTTTCTTGCCTTCCTCAGGCCCTAGGGACTAGTCCCTCTGTACTCTACCAGTGTAGCTGCCCTTTTCAGTACTGGACCCAAAAGTCAGTTCTCCCGTAACGCACAGGCCCCTCCAGACAGCAACTTACACATCTGGCCACATGTGAAACTGCCTTTCTTGACCCAATATGATGTAATTTTTCTGCCTTAATAGGGATTGTGAGACTGTTGAGGCCACTGCATGGTAGGCTGCAGAGAGCCATCCGAGGGGTCTGCAGGATATGACATGACTAGTAGGTTGTGAAATCACATCAGATTATATTAGCAATGCAGGCTCATTTTGTTTGTCTTGGAGGTGACTCAAGGGCCCTCCCTCTGCTGGAACCTGATATGATATCTGAAACACAATTCCAGATCAGAAACACCAAAGCACCCACAGATATATGAACGTGGGGAGGCAAGAATGTGAGCTTGTGTTCACAGCCATGAATCTTGGTGAGAGCTTATCCAGCTTAACCCTCTCATCTTACATAGGAGGAAACTAAGGCTCAGAGGGGTGAAGGGATTTGACCAAGGTCACACAGATAGTACATGGTAGAATCAAGATTTTAATGTAGGTCTTAAGGATAGCGAATCCATTGCCCTTTCTACAGCATCAGGTTGTGTCTGTCCCCCAAGGCAGACCTTCTCAATGAAGGAGGTTGACAATCCAGGTGTAGTCCCGATGTTCTTCAGCCCTAAGGGCTGGGCTAGATTGGGCACTGTTGCCAGCCTCTAGGCTTCTCCTCCCCTCCTTTCCCCAAATCCCAGCAAGTGAGATTTCAGTTCACACAGCTGTTGCCCTCGTAGTGCTTAGATGTTTTGTCTGGTCCTTATGGATTAATTATTGGAATTCTAGCTGTTTGACTGCTAATTAGGTGCCTTGGAGATTAAGGGGGAATATGGTGTTGAAAATGAACTTTTTAGGGTGTTGAATATATGAGAGAAGGTGTGAAATAAAAGAAAACAAGGAAGGCAAACAAACTAGGAAACGAAAAAAAAAATCTCAGCCCAATTCTCTGGTAGGAGGGAAATTCCCTCTTCACGTACCATGTACAAGGAGAGTGATCTTACTAGAATGAGATGGTTTTGAATGAATGTCTAAAGATGGGGATAATGTGGAACTTTAGACAATATCTGAAAGAAATAATACTCCATTCCTGATTGATTACTCAGAGCATCAAAAACTCTGGCCTCAGAAACAATGGGTGATTGTTGATAGAAGTCAAGAATGTGCTTTGGGGTTGGTAGTGGAGGGAGGGAGCGCAATACTGAATATTTTTGTGATAGGATATACCTGAATATGAAATTCCAGCCTCTGAGGTATTGTAATGCCATGATTTTTGTTTGTTTGGAGGAGACATATAAGAACTGGATGGAAAGTTATCTTAATTTGTGGCTTAGAAGCCCCTTTAATGGGGGAGAATCAAATACCTTCTGAGGGCAGCCCTGTATGTTTGGGTACATCAGGCGCCTTCCTCATCTCTTCAAACTGTCAGTAAAGGAAGGGAAACAGTCCTGGATGAAAACTATTCTGTGCAAAATGAGCTACTTAGCTTCAAATATATTCAAGGGGAAGAGGGGAAAGCATCAGAGCTGTGGATAAGGAAGCGAATTAAAAGCAGGTTGTAGGGACACATTGCCTGGGTAATACGTCCTACTCTTGCTTTTGAAAAGTCTCACTTCCCTACTTGGATGAAGGAGGACAGAGCCCCTGAAATGAGGTCAGATGTGGCATGGGGGGAAGAGGAGGAGTACAGTATGGGGATGGAGATTGAGTTTGAGGCTGCATGTAGGGGGTGCAGCATGGTTTATCAAAAAGTCTATTGATCTTGGAGTCAGAATATCTGACCTTGAGTGCCGGTATCAACACTAGTTATGTGACCCTGGGCAAGATATTTCCCCTCACAGAGCCTCAGCTTCCTTTTCTGTCGTATTGGGAATAATAATCATTACATTGCCTACATCACAGGTTTATCATGAGGAAAGTACTTTGTTAATCATATTATTAAAAGGGAGATCTACAGCTCTAGTTTTCCTTTGTTGCTAAAAAGTATCTCTTTCATTTGAATGGCTTTTTTGTGGTTTACAAAGCGTTTTCACATACTGTATGTGATCATTCATAAGATCCTCACAAACAGCCTTATGGTGAAGGCAGGAGAGATATTATCCTTGTTTTACAGACAGACTACAGTATTCAAGGTTTCATACCTGGGGTCTTTCCATTCATTCAGCCAAGCTGTTTCTTCAGAAATTTTAAATATCCATCCATCCATCTGTCAGTATGTGCTCCTCAAAAATGCCAGAGCAGTCGTGGTGTGCTTGGGTCAGTTGTGGGTCTAATCTGTCTTGTAGAGCTGACTTGAACCCACTCTGGGGGCAGAGAGTGGGCATAGAATGGTTTCCCCAAAATGTAAGGAGTTAGAATAGATTTGAACCCTATGAAGAACTCTGCATGGCCCAAGAGACCACTTGAGAAATCAAAATAAGAGTCTAGAACAAGCCCTAGAACCATAGAATAGACCAGGAAGGCTGGGACCTATCTGGACAGAAAGGTAACCTTCAGAAACCTGGGTAATGGCTGGCTAGCAGCTAAGATTCTTTCAATTTTAGAGGTAGGGAGAGAAGAAAAGGAGAGTTACTGCACTGCTCCAATCTCCAATTCCTATCTTCTAGTTTAAAAGTTAGACATCAAATCCCAAGACTTGGCATAATGTGTTGGAAAGAGCCCTGGCCGAGAAGTTGAGAGACCTAAGTTTGAATCTCAGTCCACACAACCTGACTTTGTGACCTTGGCCAAGTCATTCCCCTCTCTAGGTGGATTCCCTCCCTCTGTAAAATGAGAGTTGG